TTTCGCTCTTTCAACACAAAAATTTAATAAAGTAATATGTTACACATATTTATTATTGTAATATTACTGCTAATTTCTCTCAAACTTTTCTGAACCTAAACTCGATCTGCAACATAGCTTTAAATATCCTTCCGTCATGATTATGTAGTATGGTAAATTATTTTTGAATAAGCACAAATTAAATTATATCACCAAATTTTAAAATCATAACAGTCCATTTTAATCATCGTGAAGATACGACTTCAAGTTAGTTTTTCCTTCTTTATAATATTAAAATAAATATTAACTCATAAAATTATTTGGTTTTATTAGTTTAAAATATACATAATTTATATTAATATTCAATCATATTAAGTGTACTCTAAATCTATATAAACACCGACGGCAGTACATTCTGACAGTCATTTATTGCGTGAAATATTTATAATAATCATAAATATTTTAGTGTTGAGAAATTCTTGATTGAATAGGAAATTGGTGCCCTAGATTTTTCTTTTTATATATTAATTTGTACAAACTATACAAAAGCTCAAATCTTATTTCAAAAAACAATTTCCTGTTGAGAATATAATTTTTCAATAATGCTATTTTAAATTTAAAAATAATATACGAGTACAGTAATGCGATTGATAATCAATGTGCAGTAAAATAACTTTTTATATTTTACTTATTGACGGTTAATATTATATTTTAAAATTACAAATCAATATTTGTTTATTATTTTCAAAATTATATCACAACCCAATTTACTTATTCAGTCTACCGTGCAAGAATAAAATTACGTAAAACAAGTTTATCTTCCGCGTAATTAGTGTACTGGAATTATTAGATCATATATTCATGTTGGCACTAAATTAAAAATACACACCTTAAGTAAAATATTTACTATACGTTTATTTTCTATATAACTAAACAAAATACTTGATACATAGTATTATAAAAATTATTTGTACTTAATATATTATTTAATGTATTTATTAAGTTTAGGTAATGATAGAACTATTTTTAAAAACATAGTTTATTTTTAGAACATTTAAATATATGAATTTTATTAATAAAATAAATCTACATTTAAGTTTAAAAAATAATTGTAAATAAATTAAATTATCTCAGTGAATATTATATTGTGCATAATAACATAAAATTAATAAAAACAATATTCTTTTCAATGATTAAGTATACATTTATTATGGAACAATTTAAATGAGAATTAATTTGTTTTTAAAACCGTAAAATTACTAATTTTAGATTCTTTCATTGATTGATCATTTTTATTTACTTTTTTGTTAGTAATTATTCATTTGTCTTTGAATAATGTATACCTTTTAATGATTTTTATTATCATAAAGATACGGTTATATTATAGTGACATTTTTATCTATTTTTAAAATATTATATGTTTTTATCTTATTCAAAAATATATTATAGATTTTAGAAAAATTCTAAAGTAGATGAAATTAGTAGGTATAAAAAAAAATTTAAAAAATCTTTCCCCGAAAATTTAGAAACTCTGAGGAATACTCTTCTCGTAGGAATACTTTCACCTCGTAGTAGTATACTTTACAATAAAAACCGCAGGGTTTTCTCCACATAATTCTTTACGTTTTCATCGTTTTCGTATTTTTATCTAAACTTAGAAAAGTGTATACTACAGTTATTAAAGCTTAAATCGTCTTATGAATATAAACGATTATAAAATTTTCTATCGTCATTATTATGTATAAATATATTATCTAGTAAAGTTAAACTACATTTTACCTGAAGCTACCACTTTCGTGGTTTAAAGATGCCTTAAAGTAGAGATGATTAAAAGCTATTAAAGAATAAGCACTGGCATTTACAGACAATCTACGATACAAAAATAAAATAAAACAAGTTTACATTTACGTAGTATTTAGTCGGCAGTATAACATTATGCCCCGACTAATCTACTACTGTTACATGTTCGAATAAATAATACGACATTATCGAACCTCGCTATTGTAGCAAATAACTCGCAATTCTTGATTTAACTTGTAATAATACGACTACAAAACATGTCCACTTCTGATATTTTATTATTATTAAATGAATTGGCTCGCCGACCTCAGTTTATGTATTTTATAAAAACGATGTGTGTCTTCGGACAGCTGGATCGGCTGGGCTACGGAAATATGGACGTGTATTGTTCCGAATTCACATCGTTTCCAAGGGATCTACAGAGGTGAATCTCAAGTGTTCGGCGTACAGGTACGTTTTCTGTCGCACTCCGTTGGATATGTTCAAAACAATCGTTTATTATTTATACTACGCGTACCAGCACTAAATGTAGACTATATCTCTTTGGCGGTACGTCTGTATATCCCTATTGCCGCGACAACGGTCGAATCGATTATCTTTTGGTAAACGATTGAACTTCATTTTTTTCTCCAAAATAAACATGGTTTTGAAAGTAAAAACAAACGCTTTCGAACACGGTAGTACGATGTTAAATATATTTTGCATACGTTTCGATCTCTTAAAGTATATTTTATCAAACACGTAATATATTTCATAAGCAGTGCCGCAACTACACATAATGGGGCTGGTATGCAAATCTGAATTTGGGGCCTAAATATTTTTTCAAAAAAGTTTTTACCTACTATAAATAAAATATGTTTACCGGTGTTTATATTGTGGAAGGTAGTCTAGTGGATTTTTAATATTTAATGACCTGCATTAATTTAGACCTGTATTATTTTCTGCTATTTCTGTTCTAAGAATTAATATTACCATAGGATTATAAATACTTTAGTAATATAATAGTATTTATAATCAATGGTATTTCATTTGGTCATTGGCAACTAGTTAGTATTTGGGTATGTTATTTAATTATAAATATTTAATAATATGATAAGTCTGTTTTTTACATTTATCAATTTACTTCAATTAAAATGTCTATAATAATACATCGTGTGGGGCCTATAACGGTTTGGAGGCCGTTATGCAATACACACCTTGCACACCCGGTAGTTGCGGCACTATCCATGAGTTAGGTATTTTATATAAAACATTAATAAATATATAATGAGAAATACGAAAAAGATAGACTTGAGTTAGTTTGGTTAATAAACAAAAACTCTGTAACTTCAATGCGTTTTTTCGTCAATTTATCAGACTTATACGTACACCAAAAGTCTAATTAAATAATTAATTATTGTTGAAATTCATTGTAATGTATTCACCGGTTGTTCATGCTTTGTAAAATTCCATTTTTATTTGCCGCTGTTTGTCAGCATATTTTCGAACATTTTTTATTATCAATTCAAAGATACATTTCGTGTAAATATGTATACCTAAACACACCGTATCGGCACATTTGATTTCCAGTTGTCCCCGGAGAGTATGAACATGGATGAGCGGCGTTCGAAGTCATATCATATACATCGTAAACGTACATTTCGCCGGATTTATAACCTATTCGTTCTCATTTTCTCGTAATCCGAAAAACGTGGGTGACAACTTCAATGTTCTTATCTATTCAACCCTGCGATCAATGTTTTATTAAACAATAAATAACTCATGTTATCGATTCGGCTGAGTTGAAAATGCGATTCACTCCAAACTTGAAAAAAGACAAAAAATACTTATTATTATTATTATTAATAGAGACAGATCGAATTGTCGTATAAAGAAGTAGAATGGAAAATTATAAATTTAGTAATAATTGTTATTTTCTCGTCTTGTTAATTGTAATGATAAAAGTTAAAATTGATAATGTAATTAATAAAATGTTTTTAAATAAATATTATGCGTAAAAAATATACATTCGTGTCGCTCTGCAGGATTTTACTCAAATATACTGCAGCTGGTATGTTCTTATTGAATTTCATCCACTATTGTGATTTATTATATAACATTTTGGTTTCACCGACTTAGAACACCAAATCTTAAATAAACAAAAGTATTTTATCTAAGGTTGAAAAAAAATCATGCAACTTCAACGATATGTTCAGAATGTGTTTTGTAATGTTTAACATTATCAACAATAATTTTAAAATATTAATAATAATTAATAATAATAACAATAATTAATAATAAAATTAATTCACTACACCGTAAATTGTACATTTTCGTACATTTTCACTCTATTTAAGAATATAATTCATTAGATATTTTTTTTCTTTAGACATTTATAAATAATATCATAACCTGAAGTAATAATGCGTATGATAAAAACAATGTGCTTGTACACATAGTAAAATAATAACACCCGGTTTCTCAACCCCCTCCCCTCTTCCACCGGTATAGTTACTATGCTTTATAAAAATAATATTAAAAATTTAATTCCTAAAATATTAGTACATAGCTTTTAATATAAAGTTTACTTATTTAAATAAGTATGATGGTGAACAATTAAAATTGTTTTCTTGAATATGCTCGATAATGTCGTCATAACAAATCCAAAATGTGCAAAACAATATCACAAGTCAAAAATATTGAACTGTTGATTATTCGCACTTCTGGAAAAGTTTCAAGATGCTAACACTGTTTGTACAAAAATATTGACTAACACTAAAATGTGATCAAAACAGTTTGCGCCGATTAAGACGAAATCAAATATTATCAACGTCATGCCAACAATCATAAAAATTATACGTCAATTTTTTATTAAATAATGATGTCGGAGCGATGATGTGCTTTAGTTATGATAAACTTAATTAACTGGACTGAGTAAAAACTAAACATTCTACTTTTTAATCAATAATTTCATAATGCGTTCTATCTTGACCGTTATCTATAGTTAAAAAATAATTTCCACACTGACAGTTATTAGCTCAGAATATCAGTAATACTTTTGTAATAATAAAATCCTATATTGGATTTCCTTTTATCGAGGATTGAACGGGTAACTTTAGTCATTGATATTTGTTTTGTATTTTTATGACGTAATGATGGCACCTGCAGGACATAGCTAAACTAATATAAAAAATTCATGTCGTCAATTTAATAAACTATATAATGTTTTATTTATTTTCCAGGAATGTTAATGGCAGAAAATGGACTACAGAACGGTCCGGCACCAAATGTCGGGAATTACATAAACAACATGGGTTAGTTGAAATATTATATTTTAATGCGATACCTTGCCAGTCATAATACCGGTGGTCATAATTATAATAATGTTGTGCATCCCGGTGTGTATTTATTTTTTTATTTTTTTTTCGTCCGTAAATCTGAGGATTCGAATAACGTTTAACTGGCAATGTAAACATGTTTGATTAATATCCGAGACGTATATTTTACCATGCACGCTACTCGTTCATTTCAACAAAAACAAACACGCACGAGGGTGGTAGGATAATTATATTATGCAATTGGTTTAAAAATAATAAATGGTTAAAATTACTAACAATGTAGTACGATTCTGAAAACCAATGGCGATCATTTGATCTAAAAATGTTTTTTTATGTAAAATAAAACCGTTTGTTTTTAATGTATAAAACATTTTGGTAAATATGTCGAATCACAAATATTGTTTTTTATGATAGTAATTTTTTATCAAAGAAAAATTCAATGAACCGATATGATAAATGTGATTGCGCATAAAATATTTAAAACTTTTTCAACACTACTACATAGAATAAAATAATAATAATATATTCAATATTATTTACTGTTGGCATATAATTTATTTTATATGTGCTTTTTGATACAACATGTGCATGATTTAAACATTTACTCGCTAAATAACTAACACTAATACTGATTTACATCCTGATGTAGCTTGGCTTAAATTCTAAATGGTACTCGGGCCCTAGAACTTTGTTGTACACTCAAAACTTTTTAATGTGATTTATTCGGGAGAACTTTGTATCATAAAAATTGAATTAAAACACTTGTAGTCATGAAAAACTGTAGTATCAAATAAATTATTGAAACAAATTGCGAATACGCAATCATCTATAACAATTATACAACGTAAATATATTACAAATAATGTCCAACTCAACTTAGTAATAATATCAAACTCTAGTCAATAAACTTACACGAAAAGATTATTATTATTTTAAACTTTGTATTGTACTTTATAATATTCAGAGCCAGTCAATAACGATTCATTTTTTAAGCTTTATACTTCACAAAAATACAATTGTTAGATAATTATCCAAATCAGAATTAATGTATTTAAATTTAAATTCTTTTATGTGTGATATTCACATGAAACACATTTTTAAACACCAATTATCATATATTTTACAATATTATTTTTATAATGTTTAAAAACTGTGTTCATGTTTTATGAGAATTGAATATTTAAAAAAAAAACAAGAATTATTTTTTTTACTCAAGATAAAAATCGCTAAAATTATTATATTAGAGTATTAAGAAATGTTACAGGAAGTTACACTAACATTAACCCAAAAATAAATTAGAAGGATCAAAAATATTTTTATATGTTAAAAAATGTCTTTTTTATGATAAAAAATATATTTCATTAAAAAAATATTTAAAAATAATGGTAATTTTATTCAGTAGTAATATGTTATTATCTCAAATTACTAATTGTTTATGATGTAGGCTACGGGAAAGGCTAACGAATACATTATTCCTAGATAATAATGTCACATAATTTATCTTAAATACTACCTATAAAACAAATGTTAACTGGTCAAATTAATAAATTTATATTAATGGAATAAGTTACATATCCTTAACAGTTTATTTAACTAATCAAACCTGCGTAAAATATGTATCAAGATTAAAATATAATTTATAATACCAATTAATTATTTAATTGAAATGAATACATAATCAGTATGAATGTAAATTAATAAGTAAAATGTTTTTTTTTCAGTAGCTCAAATTCCACAACGAAATGGTGAGTTTTTTAAAATTAATTAAACCAATTATATTTAATAAAAAAATATAATTTACTGTACATAGTTTAATATGATATTTAATATGATAATATATTTAGACACAATGAAATGTTCATAAAGTATTATCCATTCACTTACTATAAATGTTAGCATATCTTTCGCTGACAACTTTTATAAAACCCCCAAAACTTTATTTTATTAATGTTATAACATATTATTTGTTAAAAAATAAAAATTAATTTCAGTTATAGTATACACTTTTAGCTTGCACTTTAGTTTAGTCATTTTAAAATAAAGGTTGTAATAAAATCTCTAAAGGTTCACGAATAAAGTATAATCTTTACGCTAGGTAAACATTTTGGAAATATTTTTTTCTCGTAAAGAAAATAACGATTTGTGATTCATTTCATCAAGGCAAACGGCTATTAGGACTGTTGATATCTTTTAGCAAAATACTTATAATTACTTGTATTTATTTTTGATCACTACTATGTACCCGTATAAAAAAAATAATGAAATAATAAAATAAATGTATCTACATCTAATATCCCATTTATGTGTTTATACAATGGTAGACTAAGTATCGATTTTATGTTTATGATTTTTCTCTTTCCTCGTTGACTCTGCTCATTATAATATGAATTATTTAATCGTCGTCATAATATGTATACGAATTAGAAACATAACGCTAGTTATTCTCTAATGTGTCAATAGATAAAATAAAATAAATTTTGTAATGGTAAGATCAGTATTTTATTTTTTTTTAATTTTTTAGTAACTTTTATTGAAAAGCATCTAACAATATATAAATATGGTACGATTGTACCAAATTCTGTCATCCATTCTCTCTAGTAATAGTGACTATAGACACTATAGAGTTATACATCATCACGTCAACCACGAATATTAATGCATTTACAATACAATGATTAGTTTTACAAATTAACTGCAAACATCACAAGTTCATAACAAAATAATCCTATTTATTTTTACTAATATACAGGTATATTTAGCTATAAGAAATGTTAATTATAATTCATATTTATAACTATATGTTAATATTAAAACATACAATACCTACTTTAATTTTCCATTGCCATATTATGCCATATATAAACCATATTATGCCGTATATTGTTAATACATTTGATCATATGTATGTATTTAATAGATAATAAATAATAATTTTATTAGATGGATAAATAAAGTATTGAAACTTAAGTGAAATGTCTGATTAATATTTACGTAACTAGAAAATTTACATAGCAAAGTATTAATATAATTTTAACAGATTATTCCGTTTTATATTTATTTATTACTAACAGGTATTTTTTTATTTTATAATTTATCACTTTTCCCGATTAAATGAAAAACTTTAAAAACATAATACATACCTATTTCCAAGTATATTATTTTCTCTAGAAAAACAATTTTTAGACTTATACAAAGATCAAAGATCAAATGTGAAATGTCTATTCCTGTAAGTAATATAAAATAAAATATCGTCTTACCTTATTGAAATATCTTAAATTTCAATAAATAAAAACTATTTTAATAATGCTCAGTTTATTTCGAAATTTCCCTATCTGTAATAATTGGTTTTCGTTTTATATAAATATATGTAAAAATAAAATCGTAAAATAATTATTAAACCGATCACAACTGCATTAAATGCATTTATTTATACTTAAAAAACAATTCCATTGATATTTATAGTTAGTATGTTTTGTTTTAGCTCCTTGTAAGCGAAAAGAAGAAAGTCAACCAATTGTTTCCGAACATTCGACTGCGCCAAAAAAACCACGTTTAGTATTTACCGATCTCCAACGGCGAACTTTACAAGCTATTTTCAAGGTATTTAAAATAATAAAAGTTATTTTTCAAATCTCGTTTAATATAAGCCATGGTAAATTCTGGTCACACAGTATAAAAAAAAATTGTATTCTTTGTATGTCATTTATCAGGAAACGAAAAGGCCGTCTAAAGAAATGCAGGTGACTATAGCTAGGCAGTTGGGGCTTGAGCCGACCACGGTGGGCAATTTCTTCATGAACGCCAGGAGACGATCGATGGATAAGTGGAAGGACGAAGACCCAAAAGCAATGGCGTCATCGAATCACCACCAAGACGACATGGTTGTCAGCATGCAAACAGGGACACATATGGGTAACCACCAGTCTGAAGTTTTGTGACCAATAATTAATTAGGATAAATGTGTAGACATATTTATTCCATAATGTTAGAGTACAATATTGAAAAATGTGATTTGTTTTCTGGTAATTTTTATTATAAAGATTAATAGTTGTTTTTCCACTTACAAATATTCTCTTGACACGGTAAGGCAACAAAACATATTCCCAAACTTGTCCCTATTGATTTTCCATTGAAACACTTAACGGTGACCACCCATTTTTACATGACGCGTATATATATATACTAGTTCCATGAGGGTCAGTCATGCTTTCTTCCAAAACAATAATAAATGAAACCCAACAGAAATTATAGAAAAAAAAATCAATTAACTTTTACACATTTGTTATTTGATTACCAAAAATCAAATAATTTTTTTTCTCGGATATCTAGAGCTGACCATTTTCTTAAAATTGTTCATATCGATTTCATATATATTTTAAATATTTTATGAAAAACGTAAATAATATGTGCTTAGAACATTATATCTTATTATTTTTTTGAAAACAACTTTATTGATATATATATATATCAATTTACCTATGATCTCTTCACATAATTTTTAGTCATATTTTTACAGTAAACTTAAGGCCCAACCATTACTTACATTTGTCTAATCTAATAAATTATCTAGTCAAAAACCGCTCAATTTACTGAAAATTAAAAACCTATATACATAATATATTATATTATCAATTATAAATATATAAGCAATTCTTTTAAAATATATATTTTTATCGCGACTTGGTGTTTTCACAATGTGTACCCACCTATTGTATTCCGTCACAACATTTTGTAACACCTAACAAAAAATTGAACGGTAATAATTGTAGATAGTACGTAATATTATATAGACTTATAATGAATGATTCATCAATTTGAAATAATTATAACGAGCTTAAATATTTTAACTACCTAAGTATAATTATAATATTTTTTCATGAAACTTATTATGAGATGGAAATTTCTAAAAAAACCGCAATGTTTGCTTCCAGATTTCTAATATATAAATTTTGTGATAGTGATATCTATAACCTAATATTCCATACTTATCTAGTCAGACTAGCTAGTGCAATCGACTTTATGTCAAACTTGGATTAAATTGTGATGTATTTTTTTTTTTTAGATATATATATATATACATTATAAATGGCCTTATATTATAGTAATTATTATTTTAAGTTTTTGTCAAATGTTGTGTGTCTGGTGTGTCGAAATAAAAGTATCAGATCAGCATTTTAATTTATTTTTATGATATTAGAAATAAAAGTATATATCAAATACTAAACAAAATTACTAAAATAAAATAATTCAATTTCGGTTAAGTTGGTTGTTTAGAGACTGTTAAATTATAATTTTTATTTAAAATTCTCTTATGAATAAATCTGTTTCATTTTGTGAACCTTGACGATTTCAATTTCATTTGAATTTTTTTCAGTCCCGTCTTTTGACATTTTTACTAACATTTTTATTGAATATCTCAAAATGGCAAGGATTTTTCATGATTTCAAGATGTCTCATGGCAATCTCATTTCCCCCCTAAACCGATAGTAATCTATTAGTGGCTTAAAATAAATGACTTTTACCAATTTTTTTTTTTTACACATGTATACCGAAATATAAAAAAAAAAATTGCTAATTTATTTTAGAAAAATAGGAACCAACTATTTGGGCCTTATGTGCACAGATTCGTCGTCTATATTTAATATAGTTTTTCACGTGTAAATTAAAAACCATTAGTGTTTACTATATTATTAGTTTAGAGCGTATGTGTGGTTGCCTAGCCTGTAAATTATTTTTTAATAAAGCAGAAAATAATATATCTTATAATTTTTTTATCATAGATTATTCTCATTTATGCATCTGATTTATTTGACATATAAATAAATAAATATATATATACATATGTTTAACTGCACATTAACACGACAAAGAAATCATTACAATCAAATGTGATTAGTTGTAAAATATTGTATATATTTATATTTTCTAGTCATAAGATTACAATATATGATCGTATTTTTTGGCAATTTCTAAGCAAATATATACTTATATCTATTTAGATTCAAACACGTCTTTTTTTATATATTTGGCAATTAAATTAACTGTTATTTTCAATGTATTTTTAGTTGATTAGTATTATTATCATTATTATCATTATTATTATTATTATTATTATTATTATTATTATTATTATTATTATTATTATTATTATTATTATTATTATTA